ACTGGACATATGGATTCCTGTAGAAGAATGAATAGCTACCCTGAGGACCATCAAACAAACAGTATCTCACTGTGTGGTATCAAAGTCTAAATCTCTCTATATTGCTTTTTCATAGTACCCTTTTATCTTTATTTCTTCACATACCTCAGTTCCCATTCATTTAACTGAAGCTGGCTTTGGAGTTGGATTGGCTCTCCTACTCTAAACCCAAGCATATTATTTAAATACAATTCAGAATTTCTGTATTATATCAAAGAGCCATTGATATAAGACAGAAGAAATAAAATGAGGGACTGTTATCTGTGGATTTCTTTTTCTGAACAGTCTAATTTCCTCCAGGTTTTCCATCTTCCCTATTGTCACCTCTTCTGTATGCATACATATGAAAGTTAAAATATTTCTTTGTTAACAGTAATGTTTGAGTTTTCCAGAGAACAAGGGATTTCCTGACAGCAATCTTCAACTGCTTCCGAAAGAGAATGAGGATCCACTTCCTTGACTTCACCTGATTCGACTGGAGGCATCTGAATTGCCCCACATCATTGACTCCACCTGACAAGCACTATCCTGAAACTGGCTTGAAACTACATCACTCGACACAACTCCAGACCAAGGAACGGAAATAGCACATCTTCTACAATCTGACCAGAGCTTCAAGATAAGAGCTTCAATCAACACTAGAACCCCAGTCAGGAACTTCAATCAAGCATCTCCTGCCATACTGAGACTGTCTGATCTACTCAGATTTTGTTATACTAACATTTTCTTTTCACAGGTCCCCATGAGATTATCATCGTCCCATCTCAGCAGGAAGTAGTTTTGAGAATTCCACGCCCCCTCTCCCTACTATTGATATTATAAGATTACACCTGTTAGTGTTAGTTTTCAATTATTTTAGAGTTGGGATTGGAAGGAGGTGTTCATATTTGGGTGTTTCTTTAAGATAAGTTTAGGTTTAGATAGAATAGATGTTTGATACATTTTGTTCATGGACACAAGTTAGTTGTCCTTTTTTAGACTAAAAGGGGAATTGTAGGAGGAAGTCTGATGCCGCCATTAAACATGTGACTTACTAAGTCTATGCCGCCATTAAACATGTGACTTACTAGAGGCGCATACAGATGAGGTAATAAAAGGGCGGTTTACCACACCACTAACCACACCCACTTTAGGCAGGACTAAAGACGTATACGGCTGGACGTAAAGACGTATACGTACGTAGGCGGAACTACGTCACTAGCCAAGCCCACTTTTGGGCATGGCTAGGGGCGTTACGGGGAAGGCATAAAAGACAGCGCACAGGAAGTCTCGCTCTCTTTTCCTGGAGTTCGGCTTCCGGTCCAGTCGCTAGCTGAGATCTGCTGGGCTTCTCTGGGTTTGGTATCTTGTGAGTAATTTTCTACATTAAATACTTAGCTTCACTTTCAGCAATTGTGTGTCACGTATTGTTACAGCGTCCAGTAAAGCCTAAAATCTGGCATCTAAAAGAGGGAACCTGAGCCCTTTCCAAACTGTCTTGTGGTCAGAGCAGACCCCTAACCCTGTTACAAACTTACGACTGGGAACAGGTGTGAAATAAAGGATATGAGTTTTGGAGACAGAAATACCCTCTGGTCCCAAGTCAGCCACCTTGGGGTAGTGAAACATTGGCTAGGCTTTACCATGCCTTTGAGCTTTAGCTGCCCTAATCTGTAAGGCAGGGGTCAGGCTTTGTGAAAGCAACATTAATAGCATGTAACCCTGGTCCTCCACCCTGTGACACTTGAGAGCCTATCCCATCTCCCTGGCACTTGATGTTCCTCACTCCCTGGAAGCTGTTCTGGCATGAGCCAAGACCAAGCCCAAGAAAGGGAAACACTGCTTCCCTCCAAGCTTTTCTCTTCCAAACTCTCCTAATTTTTCCCCTATATAAAAAGGGCAGCAACTGAGAGGTTCATGCATAATATTTTCTAATGCTTTCACTGGCCTTCTGGTTTCTCCCTTTCTACAAAATAAAGCTGGAAACAAAAATACCCACTCTTGAAAGTCATCTGTGGATCTTTTCTTCCTCCAATCTGGATCCTGTTTCCATATTTAAACAAGTTAGAATGAAGATTGCTCTTAAATCATTATTTTCTTCATTCTAAGAGAGTATATTAAAGGTCTTTGGTAGGTAAATCTTTAATGGATGATTCTTTCACTTTCCCCTTAGCACTCTGATGCATATGTTAGTCCCCAAACACCCACCCAAAATGAGAAGGGAAGGCATGTAATACTCCAGAAATGAGCATCCAACAACTACTTTCTAGAGGTGAATCTGGTAGTTTTGCTTCAAATATACATTATTCCTATTAATCTATATAATTTAATTTTAATCTCCTTTGAGGTATTATCTAAGTTAAAATATAAATCTGGGTCTTCACAGGCCAGAAATAATAGTCTAGAATCTGGTAAAATACACTGTCAACAGCACTTGTTAAAGCACACAGAAAATGTCACTGTGGGCTGACAAAGACGAGCCTTCACTCAAGCTTCTTCTGAAACCTCTCTCTCAACAGCCCAGACTTTACACTATGCTGACCTGCTTTGAACAACTGAAACAAGAACCTTGCTATGCCATTTTAGCAAAAGTCCTCTGCCCTTGGTGTCTGGTTTCCTTTGGTATTGATCAAATTCCTCACCCCCTATTTTAGGTATCTAAACATTCCAGGCAGTTTTGAGAATGAGACTAGTTGATCTAGTAAGAATCTTCCCAGACACTGACCCTCTGCCCACACATACATACAGGCAGACACTGTTCCTGAGCTGTAAATCTCCACTTGTCTGTGGTGCATTTGGAGCTGAGCCCAATCTCTCTCCTCTACTATAAAACCTCACTGCAGTGGTTACTCTGGAATAAAGTTTTCCCTATTACCTGTCTTACTTTTCTATTACTGTGAAAATAAACATCATGACCAATGCAACTTATAAAAAACAGCATTTCATTCAGTGCTTGTGGTTTAAAATGGTTAGAGTCCATGACCATCATAGCAGTGAATATGGCAGCAGGTAGGCAGGCAGGCATGGCTTTGGGGCAATAGCTGAGAGCTCACATCTGGATCTACAAGCTCAAGGCAGAATGAGAGAGCCACTGAGAATAGCATGGGCTTTTAAAACTTCAAAGCCTGTCCCCAGTGACACACCACTTCCAACAAGGGCCATTCTCATTCAAACCTCCACACCACCTTTAACAAAGATTATTAATAATTTCTTAACAGGGAAAAGAAAGTTCTGGAACAGGGAAGAAGTAAAATACCCTTGATGAGGAAACTGAGAGTATCAGTATGAACTAAAAACTTCAAAAACCTGAGATTTATTTTAGGGGGTGGTAACTAGTAAAAATTTACTGCTTAAACTTCCCAGTCTAAGCTGGGCGGTGGTGGTGCACGCCTTTAATCCCAGCACTCGGGAGGCAGAGGCAGGCGGATCTCTGTGAGTTCGAGGCCAGGCTAGACTGACAGCCTCCAAAACAATACAGAGAACCCCTGTCTCGTAAAACCAAAAAAAAATCTTCCCAGTCTACAGCTGTTTAAGAGCAAGAGATTAGAAGCACAGGCGTAGGATACAGAAAAGTCTGTGATATGCAAGAGCTAGCTTCATACAGAAAATGTTGCGCCATGAATTTATGACAGAGCCATAAACAACATCTACTGAGTACCTACCATATACCAGGCCTTGTGTGGCACATTTGAGCAACCTAATGATTAAATGCCATCATTTCTATTTTGTAGAAAAGGGCATTAAGTGTGTTAGGATTAAGCAGTTCTCCCAAGTCCACATGGTTGACAGATTCCCCCAAATCAAGACCTGGGTGTAAATCTAAATACTATTTCTCCTATTACCAGAGACAATTCAACAAACTAACAAGTGGGATCAGAAGAACTATTTCAACTTAAAAAATGGCAGAGGCACTAACCTGACAGTTCTGAAATGATAAAGAAATTTCTAGAATTATTCCATTTTCTAACTGTTTATCAGAACAAATTTAGAGAAACCTAAATTACTTACGGAGACAATGTTTGCTATAAAGAATTACATGTGGAAAAATGGCACATTATGTTCAACTGAAAAAGAGCAGAGGTTTTTGATTTTTTGGTTTGTTTTTATTTTTTTAAGACAAGGTTTCTGTGTCTTGGAACTCACTCTGTGGACCAGGCTGTCCTCAAACTCAGAGACCTGCCTGCCTCTGCCTCCAAAGTGTTGGGATTAAAGGCATGTGCCACTACCACCCAGCATAAAAGAAACAATAAGCAGATGTTTAAAAGCTCAATTTCTTTCATTTTATCCATGGGTTTGTCCCTAAGTTTGCTTAGCTAAGAGATGTAAACCATCTAGGCTTCATACAAGAAATGGGAGTATCTACTTCATATGATGTTGAAAATCATAGCTACCCCTGTCACTAACTATAGTTAGTCTGACAGTGTACAGAAATGTAAGTTCACTTGCCCTTCTAAGAAAAAAACATTTCATAGTTTGAAAGAAGCCATCAAAATATTATGTCAATAACTGACTGAGGATTGGGACAATCCCTCCATTACTCAGGACTTCTACAATCTCATGTGTAACACATGGGAGACTATAGATTAGTGTTTCTCAACCTGTGGGTCATGCCTCCTTTGGGGTCAAGCAACCCTTTCATTGGGGTCACCTAAGACTATCAGAAAACACAGACATTTACATTACAATTCATAACAGTAGCAAAATTAAAGTTATGAAGTAGCAATGAAAATAATGTTATGGTTGGGAGGGGGTCATCACAACATGAGGATCTGTATTACAGGGTTGCAGCATTAGGAAGGATGGGAACCACTGCTATAGATGGTCTTTAAGCTCAAGTTTCCACTGAATATAAAAGGGGAAGATTTAAGTTTGTTTCCCTATGGTTTCCCATTATAGCATACACTCAGTTTGACTACTAATGGAAATTCTTAGATAACCCTGGAAAGAAAATAAAGTCGAAGAGAGAAGGTGTAAGTACACACGTCCATATGTGTTCTTCTGTGTCTTCTCCATCCAGAACATGTCTGATGACACTTTAAATAAAGGGCAATTGGAGGAATACCTCGTACATTCCTAAAAGAGAACCTTTATTTTAAAACCTTTAAAAAAGAGGCAGGGACAGCAGAAAAAATATTATAAAGTCACACAATTCACAAATTTTACATAAATATGTATTTGTTCTAACTTCTTGTTTATATATGACTCCCTCAAAGGAAATAACTATCCTTAGCAATTTTCTAATGCTTTTCAATTCTTGTTTCATTCCAAACCCCAAATCATCAACTATGCTGAAAAGACTCCACAGTAACTTAAGTGTTAACATTCAGCGCCCATGGGCTCTGTCCCCTTAAGTTAATTTTTAAACCCCTGGGCTTGAGCAAAAAAACTCCTGGAGCACATTGTAATCACCCATTTTACTCAAAAGAGACAGAGCAGTTTAAAGGCTCTCCCAAGTTGATTCCTCTTGACCAGCTATGACTGAGAACCATGAACCACAAACTAGCATCTAATTATATACAACTAAATGAATTCCTCAGGCTCAAATAACCACTATTATGCATTCAAAATTATTCTAACTACCTATACATTTTAGTCTATCTTCATGTTTGAGTTTTATTTTTCCAGCTTCATACAAAACTGACCACAGAAATCTTTAGTCTGCATGCCTCTCCTCTCTCCCCTTTCTCTTTTAGATGACCCCAAATGGAAAGCATAAAAACTGAACAAATTTTCATTAAGAAAATCGGCCATACTTTACAATGAGTATGGCTGCTTTTCTTAATGTGTGACAAGTGATGGCGATGCACTTGTTGAAGTTTTTGCCACACTTTCACTCATACCCAATCCAGAACCATCATTCTAAGCTATGAAGAAAAGGTAGGATGACTAGACAAACAGAAACCCAGTTCTACCCCTACTGCACATGATATTCTACCTGCTCAGAAATTGTTTCCTAATTTGTAAAGTGGGCTTGGCTTTTGTGAGACTCAAATGGCACCACATTTTATACCACGTGTTGGTGGCATCTACTGAATCTTTTCCAGTTATCATATAAGCCTACTTTAATTTTCTACTGGAACGTTTCAGTGAAGCCAAGCTCAGACTTCAAACAGAAAGAAGACTAAGTACACTGGCCAGAGACAGCTACAGTGGGTAAATAGCACTAGCCAAAGATGGGTAGTGTCCAGAAAGGACAATTTCTAGAGAATAAGGGATTCAGTGTGTGGCAAGCAGCCTTCTCCAAGTAGGGGTTGCTCCAAAAAGTTATCGCCTTGAGTACATTATTGACAAGTAGAGGAATAGCAACAGAACAATGGACACTTCTCTTTCTATTTAACTGACAGAATCAGGAAAAAATTAACTCAACCAGTATAAAACCAGTAGGGTTATCAAGAAATACCTGCTACCAAACTAAAGCACACATTTCTCCATTCCTAGAGCATATCCAAGAAAAATTCAGAGAGAAGCCTGAGATGCCTACAATCATACAGGAGCTCACACATGCTCATATCCATCAAAATATTTAACAGTTGTTGGAAAAAGATAGATATGCCACAAATTTCAAAGGGCTCTATTGTTTTCTGACTAGCACATGAGGCAATATCAAACTTCATGGTGTGGGTAAATGTAAAAGAGGTGATCATTTATTCCCAAACAGTAAGACGATTGTATACTAACCTCCAAGCAGAAATAAGAAACAAGACATCACAGGTGTAAAGCAAATGTTATGGTAGAATCCCAGATTAACTCTGAATGGAAGTAAAATCATAGCTGTCAGAAATAAAGCACCAAAGTGTTCAATTAAAGAGAATATATCAATATTCACCTGAGTAAAATAATTTGTTTACTACAATTTTATGCCATTCATTATGACACAAGGTACAACCTTAGAGAAAAGATGAACCAATGATCAAGACCAAGGTTCTCATTAAGACATAAGAAGGAGTCTGGCATGGTGGCACACCCATCTTTAATCCCAGCACTCAGAAGGGCAGGAAGATCTCAGTGAGTTCCAGGACAGCCAGAGCTATACAATGAAACCCTATCTTGGAAAAACAAGAGAAAGGAAGGATACCTAACATGGCCCAACTCAGCTCTGCTAGGAAAAGACATATAAAGGGAGATTAGCCCTAAAAGCATATAAAAAGATAGCTCAATGCTAGTTTCAATGTCAATTTACATGACAAAGATGGAAAGCATGAGAATAACAGGTGGCCTACCCCCAGTCTCATTGGCATATTTTTGATGCTGTGCTAGTCATCATGTTCTTTATTGACTACCAACACAAAAACATATAAGGAATTCATTCATGCAAATGATGGAAAACCCAGATTCAAGTTATTTAATGTTGAAACACTTTCTGCAGAACAAAAATGCAGGTAATATGCCCAATCAGGCAAAAAAAAAAAACCTTGTAGTTCCTACGTTAGGCATTACAATTAAAATCACAAAACCTCATTTTGGCAACCCTGTAGAGAAACAAGTACACGTAAATTTTACTGACAGTTTTGTAAATTAAACCTATAAAATCTTTCCAAGTCATTCATATGGAAATCCTATTCAGTAACAAGACACTCCATAAGTAAACTACAGGATTATCTAGAAAAGTTTGGGCCACCCAAAATGTCACATTCCAGATAAGGAGTGTTAGCAGGATACAGGACAAACAGCTTTATCACTTAAACACAGCTTAAGAGCAATGTTGCTCACTCTTTAAAGAGGAAGCTGAATTGCCTTAGACCAGGGGCTGTCAAACCTGTTTTAAAGAACCAAACAATAAGCACTTTTGACTTTGTAAACCATACACACAGCCATAGGCAACAACTCAACTCTGTTGTTGTCAAGGAAACCAAAGATACAGACTTAATAAATGAGCATATCTATGCTCCAGTAAAGCTTTATTTAGAAAAAGGGGGCAAGACTCAGAGTTAACACAAAGAACAATTTCTAGTGTAAACAATGGGCTCTTAGTGATGATGATGGCTTATTAGTTGTAACAATGGATATTGGTAGCTCCTCAAGGCCCCATACTGGTACAGGACTTTGAAGGCAGCAAAGGCTGTGTGTTTGGGAGATACAAGGGCACTCTCTAGACTTTCTGTATTTGCAGAATTTTGCTGTGACTCTAAAGATACTCTACTAACTAAAAAACAATGAGAAAAAAACAGGCTCTGATCAAAGAAATTCTTAGACAAATGTATTCCAAAATTTTTTACCCAACTCTGAGATAGAATTATCACTAAAGCAAAATAATTTAATACACATATAATATAAAGAAAAGTGAAAGTGGTTATATTTTAATCAGCCATAAAGAAAAGTGAGATCATGATATTTGTAGGAAATGGATACAACTGGAAATTACATTAAGAGAAAGAAAAAATAATGTTTTCCCTGTATGCAGATGCTAGGGGTGTGTGTAAGTCATGAAACTATAAAGGGGACCATGAGGAGGAGAGAGAAAAAGATGGGTGATAGATAGAACACATGTGACATGAAAGATGGAGAAGGGACAGAGGCTAGCAGGGTTAAGGTAGTGGGAAGAAGAACAGTACAACAGGATATATATGAAAATGGTACAAAAAATTTGTTACCTTTGATAATGATAATAATAAACTAATAGGGCACATGAAATATACTCAAGTACTGTAAAAGGAGCAAAGTCGGAACAACAATTTTAGATGCTTTAAGATGTCCCAAAGCCTAATAAATTAGGTCCTATGGAAACCTAGCCTTATCAGATCACAAAGGCCTAAAGGCTAGTTCTTTAAACAATGACCAGCGTGCAACAAGCTAAGTACAATATCCAGACCCTAAACTATCTTCTTCCCTTCCCTTTTAATTCTAAATAGTTGTCTTCTGTCTCTAAACAAGTTCGTCTAATTCTTGGCAATCCCTCATAGCATCAGACCTTTTGTACTTACATAAAAGATCTGCTGTGCACTTGTAAAGGAGCAGAATAAACACATTCAGAAAGGATGAAATTGTTTCCCCATTTCCTAACACAATCTTTGACTAACACCTTTCAGCTTTTCCAGGAGTGAAATCACTGTTCTGTCCACTGGTAATCAAACTTTGAAGAGCAAGATGACTTAAAAACCTGAAACTTGGCAGAGAGTAGGCATTTGGCACCGAAGTCAATGTCCCAGTGGGTAACAGTCTTAAAATACTTTCAAAAGCCAACAGAAGGCACCTGGGCCCTTAAACCTCAAGAATAGCAAGAACATGGGAACTGGCTGCTGCCTTCCAGCAGCTAACCCTGCAGGATTCGCAGAGCCGATGTGTTTAGGGTAGATATCAAAGCATGCAGTTCTATGAAAAGCTAGAGGAGGTTTGTACAACTGCTTTCTGGTGGTCTTATTTGGGAGATGCTGTATTTTTATGTGGAGAAATTATAGGCAAGTGATGGAATGTGTAATGACCTCCATGTCATTTACGGAGCTTCCATGCTTTCTGTGTAGAGAGGAAACTGAGCTGAGGAAGCCGAGAAGTTACACAGAAGAAAGCATCCACACTCTGGAAAGGGGGGAGTTAAGACAAGATAAAGGGAAAAGGAACAAAAATACCTTTATTACAAGTGAAGCTACGTAAACGTAACTGAGAAATAAACAGAAGTGTGCAGGGAGAGGACAAAAGTGGCTAATGAGAGGACCAGAAATAGACAGAGTGAGACTAAAGATGAAAAACAAGTCCTAATGAAAATGTAAACTGTTTCCTACCAACTCACTCAGCATTCAGAAGAATGTATCTTTAATTACTGCATGACAGTCCAAATTGGCCTTTTTTAAATCACAAGACAAAAAAGTCGTAAGGCAAAATCACTAAGAGGATTTTGACTCAAAGAAACAATACTTAAGGGACAGAACTGAAGGATTGTACAAATGGTCTAAGAACCACCATAATATTAACAGCCATTCAGACAATACATTAGTCCAAAATACAGAGACTTTACAAAAAAAGAAAATAGGATAAAAACGTGTAAGAGTTATATTAAGCCAGGTGTGGTGGCACATGCCTTTAATTCCAGCACTTGGTAGACAGGGGCAGGGGGATCTCTATGAGTTCGAGGCCAGCCTGATCTAAAAAATGAGTTCCAGGACAGCCAGAAGTGTTACACAGAGAAACCCTGTCTCAAACTCCCTTCCCCAAAAGCTATATTAAGAAGTAAAACCAATAAATGTTCTTTTGTATATAAAATATGGTATTACAGTGTTCTTACTAAGAAATTAACATCCTATTTGACGTCACACTGTCCAATGAAATATGAACTACACATATAATTTGAAATTTCTTCACAGCTATGTTAGTATAAAATAGTTAAGACTATTAATATTGTTTATCCTGACATGTGTAAGTATTTTAATATATAATCAATATGAATGCTGTAGAGTATATCTCAGTGGTAGAGCACTGGCCTAGTATACACAAAGCTCCAGATTCAATCTTCAGCACCTCAAAAAAGAGATATTTCACTGGTTTCATGTTAATTACTTGATATCTGTTATGTATCATACATGTATAGCATATCACAATTTAGAAGCTATATAACTAGATGCCATAAAGTTTATACTTGTCAAGGTAAATTCTTATTTCCAAATTATTTTAAACATACTTGAAATTAACTGAGGGCTGCAATAAGCCAGTCAGTAAAACACTTACCTCACAACTATGAGAACCAGAGTTCCATCCCCAGAAACACACACCTTTAATCTCGCACTTGGGAGGCAGAGGCAGGCCCTGTGAATTTGAGGCCAGCCTGGTCTACAGAGCTAGCTCCAGGACAGGCAGGGCAGTACAGAGAAACCCTGTCTTGAAAACAAAAGCAACAACAAAAAAGTCAGGCATGGTGGCTTACACTTGTAATTCTCATGCTGGAGGGAGAGAGACAGTCAGATTACTGGCTCTCTGCCATACCTGGTGAATTGCAGGCAAGTGAAAGACCCTGTCTCAAAGAACAAAGTTGTTAATTCCTAAGGAAGGAGAGCTAAAGTTGTCCTTTGGCCTCCACACCATATACACACATGCATCTAAACACTCCCACACAACACAATTTTAAAGTGAACTTAATCAAGTCTGTTAAAGTGCAATTAGGTCGATTAAGTTTCTCAGCCACTCTAGCCACATTTCAACTGCTCAAGAGGTCCATGTGGCTAGCAGGCAGTGACCATAATTGGACAAAGGAAAATTTAGTCTAAAGATATGAGGTGGAGGCTGGATGGCTTGGCAGTTAAGAGCACTTGTTGCTCTTGCAAAGGACCCAGGTTCTATTTCAAGCACCCACACAGTGGTTCACAACCATCCTTAACTCCAGTTTCAGAGGATCTGACCCCTCATTTGACCTCTGAGGGTACCAAGCACATTGTAAGCAAGCAAAATACTTACACACATAAAATAATCTTTAAAAATTACAGAAATTAAGTAACTAAGTATTAGTTAAAATAATATGGTAAAATAAAGTAATAAATTATGTGACAGGGAGAAAAATAAAGGCATTAAAAACAATAGGGAAAAATCACAGATACGACCATTATGTATGACAGATCTATTGATTTGTACCAATAAGTATATTCCTGATAAAACTACCATATAAATAAAAAGTTATTACAAAGAAAAACCAACTTTAGAGAAATACTTAAAGCAAAATAATTCAGAAAAACAAAATAAGAATGCAAACAGGAAGATAGGGAACTAGATCTCAACATCAAATAAGGCTGGAATCCAGACCAAAAAGCATTGAACTAGATGCTAAAAGCAAAAATTTACCATGAGGACATGACAGTTAATAAGCACTAAGGATCACATTAACAACATATGACAAAAACCTAAGACATATATGGGAAAATAGAATCAAATTTGAAGACTTTAACTTTTCTTATTTGATCAACAACAATTTCTGTGAGTTTTTAACAATGTATAAAAATCCTAAATAACAATATGGTATATATATATAATAATTCTGTAACCTGGGAAGAGAAAACAGCCTTATTTCTGCTGCTCAAGGAACACTCACAAGAAATGACCACACACAGTGCAAACATCAGAAAGTCAGAGAACCTAGAAAACATTCTACAATCATTCAACAAACTGAAAACAATTAATATACAGAATAAACCTACAATGGAAGTTTCAACACTCTCAAGCTAACCTTCATTAATAAAAGAATAAACATCTTCCAGGATACAGAAAAGATGGGGGTAAGGTTCAAATACACATATCAGCAGCTAAAGCACTGATTAGCCAGCCTTAAGCTTTAAGAACTGAAATAAAGTGGCTGGAGAAATTGCTCAGCAGTTAAGAGCATTGGCTGCTCTTCCAGAGGACCTAGGTTCAATTCCCAGCACCTACATAGTGGTTCACAACAGTCTGTAACTGCCATTCCAAGTGATCTGAATTCCCTTTCTGGCCTCTGTGTTCACCAGGCAAGCAAGGGGTGAACAAGCATACATGCAGGTAAAACATCTACATAAAATTAAAATAGAATTAAAAATAGAAAAAACCTGAAACAAAAGGCAATGACAAAAAGAAACTAGTACTCGACTTGTTTTAAAAAAGAAAAGAAAAAGTACAAACCGATACAAGGATGTCAGAGACATATTAAAGGCTAGGTAAGCATGAACTGGAAGATCAAAGCCATGAAACTATTAAATAAATTTAACCAAATAAACCAGAAGAGGGTGGAAGCCAGACATGGTACCTCATGCCAGTAATTTCAGCACTCAAAAACTGGAAACAAAGGAATCACTAAGCATCCAAGGCCAGTTTGACCTACATGGTGAGTTCTAGCAAAATAAAATTCTATCTAAAATAAAGGTTTGGGGAAGGGTGGAGAATAAAAATGAAAATCAAGAAATAAAGGAAAACCATTAAGACACTACTATCAAAGCTGCATGTAATCGTCACCTGCAATCCCAGCACTCAGAAGACCACGGAGGAGGACTGTGAGTTCAAGACTCGCCTGGAGTACAAAGTGAGACTGTGTCCAAAATAAATAAATAAACAAACAAACAAACAAATAGTCTGGGCATGGTGGCACATATCTTTAGTCCTAGCACTTAAAAGGCAAAGGCAGGCAAACCTGAGTTTAAGTCAGCCTTGTCTACACAGAGGTTTCCAGACTCTGTCTCAATAAATAAATAAGGTACTACTAAGCTCCAATTCAATGGTCACACAGACAGCTCTGGTTCAATTAAATGGAACATAAAAGCAAACCAAAAGTCATGAATCTAGGAAAGGGACTGTGGTGTGGGGGTTGATAGGGATGGGAGAAGGCAATAAGAATGTGTTATATACAGAGACCAATACCATAGATTCCCATGGAAGGTTTAATAGGAATATACCAAATCTTGAAAGAAAGTTAACTCAAAAGAATAGTGTTACTGGATAAAAAGTAAAAATTGTCTTTCTGAAACAAACCTAACTTTGATAAGTAAAGTAAACCTAACAGCCTGCATATGCAAACATATACAAATATAAATGACCCAAGAGTTCATCAAACTATCCCTTCTACTTTTATTTTTACAATCTTCCATAATGAAAAGCCAAGAAAAAGTTTCTATGTAAACATGATTCTCACCTATTAAGTGTGACAACCATGTAGCAAAACCTGTACAGGAAAACAGGCACTCTGTCTCAGAAACTTCCAGTAGGTAGACATCTCCTATGAAAAGGAATTTGCTCACAATTATCAAAAACTGCAAATGTGCATCCTTCCTGATGTAGCAAGGTCACCTTTAGGAATTTGTCTTCTATCTCTACTCAGACATGCGTGAAATTACAATGAACACAATTCACTGTAGTTCTTGTCATAGCAAACACTAGAAACATCCCACAAGCCATCAACTGTGAGTTGTCTAATTATACTATGCCCATGTGAATTCTCAAAAGTCACAGAAAGGAAAAGAAAGTTTACATGTACATATAAGGTAAGTTCTTTTGTATTAAGTTTAAAAAGCAATACAAATTAAAGTATAAGCTGCAACTTATACAAAGATTGCAAGACTAGTTAACAGAAGTTTTTTTTAAAGCCTTTTCTGCCTTGGTCCTTTTGCATTTTTTAAATCTGGAACCATGTAACTGTCACTGTGAGCTGAAAAAGAACATATAATGATATCTGTTGTCTGTTTTTTTAAAATCCTGCACTTGGAAACGATACTCCATTTAGAATACTTGTTATTCTTGCAGACTGAATTTCCAGTAAAGATATAAGTCAAGAAATTCTTACTTTAAAAAGTTTAAACAAATACTCCACACAGATGAAAGGGGGACAGCAGATCAGTCAGAAGTGCAACTCGGTTAAGTTTTTAACCCAGATGATACTTTACAATGACCCTGGGGTCTTCTAAAAATACCAGTGCCCTCCATCCCACCCGTACACAACTAACACCAGAAATTCAGAGCATGAGGCCCTGGCCCCAAACCACTGACCTCAATGCTTTTAAAATGGTGAACATTTATTTCTAGATACGCCCACTACAAATTATCCACCACAACACTATTCCCTACTGTAACTTACCTACTCAAATAACATCCTTGCCAAGATGCCTATTAACATGGGAGATACTAGTTGCCAGAGAAGTAAATTAACTGCAATTTCAGGCACACTATACCAACTATCACAAACACTGAATGTGGGAGTGACCAAGATACCTTGTGTTCTTTTTACTGAGAATTTGTCTCAATTTACCCTAACAAAGGTTTCCTATGTTCACAATAATCTCTATACCCTAAGTTAGAATAACATACCTACTTATAACAATAGCAACATTTTCATTCTAAGCTGTTAAGTCAGGACCTGCCTCAAACCTCTAAAACTTTACAAGCAGGGTGGGGCTAGAAAGTGCAGCGAGTAAAGGCATTTTCTGCCAAGCCTGACCACCAGAGTTTGATCTCTGGGACCCACACAGTAGGAGAGAACTAACTCCAAGTTGTCCTCTGACCTCTACAGCCACACCATGACACGTGTAACCACACAAACCCAAATATATACACAAATAAATGTTTAAGAATAAAATTTACAAGTAGCAAGAAAGAGGCAGAGAGAGTAGGGTTCAACTACTGAAAAGCTTTTGAAAATGAAACTTAGGATTTAAAGACCAACTTCTGCCTCATCTTAGACCATCATCTAACTTTGGCAGCTTGATTTCTAAAATGTAATTTGGCATCGCCTTAAATGTTTAACCTAAACCTCTCTTTCTATCCTGTATGTTTCCCCCAATTATAGACAACATCACATTCTGTATAGCTGGTCTTCCCAGAAGGTTCTACCAATTTTTCACTTTTTATACACAACTGACACCATCCCATGACATTTTTAAGTCAAAAGATTTAAACAGAGCTTGGCTTTGAGAGCCTAAGTCACCTTGATTTTCCTTCGGCAATGCTGAGTTCCATTTTTGTTTTATTTTCAGGTGTTTCACAACCGCATTCAGCCTGCTGGCGTTGGAATGGCATCCTCTGGGGAAACAGGATTGATTAGTTAATGGAAGGTGGTGGAATCTATTCCCATCTAAGTTAGGCCTCAGACTTTATTTGGGTCCTCTCCCTTCTCACCCCAACCCATGTAAACCAAGTACTATCTAAGCTGCCAACAGAGTGCCAGGGACACCAAGCAAAGGTGCTCACCCTTAGGCTGGAGCTGTCCTAGAACCCCTGCTCTGTGGCCAGGAGCCCACAGGTCAGCTCTTGCCCAACATCTAAGGCATTTGCAGGCCACGACTGAGACTGTTCTAAGTCCTGCCACTCCAGGCAACCCAACACCTCACAGCAGAAAAGGAACAAAACGCCACTGCAGGATTTACTCAACCTCAAGGTGTTTCTAAACACGTCTTACCCAACCATTAAAAACTCTAAAAATAAAAAACGTTTAAGAGATCTTTCGAAGTTTTCAGGACAGGGCGGTTTGAGTCAAGTTAGATCTAACGAAAGGTTGGACGGCTGAGGAGTTTCAACTGGGATGAGAGTCCTTGGAGGAAGCTGGGTGCCTGGGTGTCAGGCCCTGCCCTCCACCTCCTGAAACCCGAAACCTCAGCTCCAGGAGCATCCCAAGCTTGAATCCCCATCACCCACCAGGCGGTTCCCATGGACTTTGCATTGAGGCTGAAGAGCCCAGCAGGCGGGATGGAGGGGGAATGGCGACTCCCTCACTCCCTCGGGCCTTGGGGGCAGCTGGCCCCAAGGCGTCACACTCACCGAAGTCCAGGAACTGTTTGATTGACAGCGGCGATGGAGAGAAGCGGGAGTAGCGCTCGATGTGTTTGGGGACCGGCTGCTTGAGCAGCCGAAAGAAGAGCCGCATCCTCACCCCGGCAATGCGCAGAACCGCCGAGACGTCCCAGACTGCTGCAGGGAGGCAGCGCCGGCGGAGGTTCACCTCCACCTGGGGCTCGGCCTTGGAGCCACCAGCGCAGTCGCCGCCTCAGCACCTAAACAAGCACCAGAGGCAGTAAGGCGGCTGTGGCCCGCTGCCCGCGGGTTCTTGAGCTCCGCCCAGAAGAGGCGGGGCCTGCCGCCGCACGTACGCGGCGCTCGTGGGCTGTGAGGGGCGCGAGGGGCACGCGCACGCCGCTGATTGGCTGCCGCCGCCGCCAAAGCTTTCTTAAAGCCCCGGTAACACGCCCAAACCTCCCGCCCTCGCTCGTGGGTCTTACCCTGTTCTCCGCAAACCTGGCTGTTGTCTTTCCCTCCCCGGATCTGGTCTTCCAAGACCAAAATGTACTTGGAGACCTGGAGGACGCCGGGAGCCCACGCCCTGAAACACGATATTTAGCAAAGCCCTAGACCTTTCCAACCCCAGGCCCCTCTCCCGGAAGGCCCTCCTAGGATCAGCTGACTGCTTGGCTTTAAGTTGTTCCTTGCAGTCCAATGCTTTTTCAAATTCTTTTCCTCTTAACTACATGGTTTGTTTCATTCCCTCCAACAATACTGGTACCTTAGCACAGAATTAAATGGAAGTAACTCTTTGCTCCCTGCTCCCCAGTCTCCCCACCCCCAGCTACTGGTCAGGACCTCTGGTCCCTGTCTGCCCACCTTCACACTAGTGAATATATTTGGACCGATTGTTACCAAAACAAGGATTGTTAGGTCACTGGCTGCAGTTCCCTGCCCTATACGTCTAATTACCACTTTAAGCCAATAACTGAGCAAGATTCTTAGGTCACTAACTCTATTCATGCCACTCTCCCTACTACCACCATTGGAGGAATCCATTACAAATAAAGGTCATTAACACTCGATGTCCATGTTTCCTAAATCCTCTCACCCCAAAACGGTTTGATGGGATTAATCATATTTCATTGCCCCGTCCCACCCCCACATACACATCCATTGGAAAGGTTCAAATTAGAGATACTAATGATTCTTTCACAATTTCTCACCACCATAGAACCCTGACACAGTTTCACCACTATTTGGGGGCAGGTATCTGCTATGTTTACACTGCTGGATTTTCTTTGCATGATAGTGAACTTGAATTCATGGCTCAGCATATAAAATCTGTATTTCCTAGTGGCTATATGAAATACTGCTGGCTTTAACCATTACCACCAAACATTGGCTTAATTTTTGATAACGTGTAAACATCAGCTACAAAAAAAGATTTAAAAAACTTTCTTCTTAATCTGATTATTAGTGTTGTGGTTGAAGTTCTACCCAAGCCCCCATCCCTGTAAACCCTGCTGCATCTCAGAAAATCTGCCAAATGATGACCCCTTCCCCAGAGACGCTCAAGACCACTCCCACAGCGTATTTAAACTGCCCTTCAGAAACCAGACTCGTAGTTTTCCAGTCTCCCTTTCCTGTCTCCTCTGTAAAGAGTGTCCGAGTCCTGAAAATTGGAAAAATGTGAAAGAAGCCTGTATGATGGAAACTGGTGCTGGTTCATGGCTCAGTGACTCAGCCCTTAACTTGACCCTATCATAAGCATGCTGTGTGACCTAAGACTGGTCTCCTAGCCTTTCTGTCTCTCGGTTATTTTAAAGTCAGGTGGAGATGTATGTATTCTCTCCCTAGTATTTGTGACAATTAAATAAAACAAATCACATCTAATACAAATATAAGACACTTTTGTACATGATAACAGTTAATCTAGAAACTAAACCAGTTGATTTCAGTGGTGGTTAGATCTCTTAAGTTTGAATCATCTCAAAGTTTTTCCAGCTTGTTGTGCACAATAAGGTCTTACACAAGCTCTCCGTGGTTCTTAATGAAATCTCTATCCCATTCACAGCAACAGCACCTGGAAGCTTGTTAAAAATGCAAATTTTTGGATTCTATCACTGTATTACTGAAACCATCACCTTGTAGGTGAGGCTTAAGGACTCTCCCACAAATTCTTTGATACTCCTGTCTTCAACAGATACAGATCAATCCTCCTTCCCTGAAGTGGGCTAGATTTTGCAGTAGCTTCTAACAAGTAGATTATGGTCAGAAGTGATGAGATTACACTTCGTGGTTAGGTTAGAAAACTACTAGGTCCCACAAAATACCTGACCAGCATGCCTCAAAACTTCAAGGTCATTAAAAGCAAGGAAAATTGGAGAAACTCTAGGAGATTATGACTACTAAATATAATATACTCTCCTGGATGGAATTCTGGGGTTAAAAAATAACAGGTTTAAAAACTAAGGTATCCTGGACTCTAGACCAAATATGTTTAATAATCATATATTTTGGTTCATGAGTTGTAATCAAGGTACCAGCACATCCAACATCCTTTTCCCTCTCCTCTTTTTCTTCTCCCATCCCCTGCCCTCCTCCTTTCCTCATTTCTCATTTTTCCTACTCCCACTCCCCTATCTTCTGCTCTGCCTCACAGTTTGGAAGCAGATGGTCCTACTGGAAAACCAAGATATGGAATAGCTCTGGCCAGAGACTATACATCTCTCCTAACAAATGTCTTAGATTACAGTTAATCACTTAAACCTAAAGGGAAGTCTTCCCTGTCTGAGAAGTCCATCCCTTCCCCCTGCTACGTGGTTTCCTTATGAACAATACTTCCCATTCTAACCTTCACAACACTGTGCTATACCATTATTAATGCTACCTTCCATACTAGACAGTGTTTTGCCCAAGCACCTGCCATTATTTAAAGTCACAACAAGTATTCATCAAACAAAAATGAACAAAACTGGAGCTAGAGAAATGGCTCAGTGGTTAAGAGCACTTTCGTATCTTCCCAAGGACTCAAGTTCTGATCCCAGCACCCACATCAGATGACCCACCTATAACTCTATCTCTAGAAGACCAGATGCCCTCTTGTGGCCTCTGCAGGTACCTGCACACACATTTTTATAATCTCTATAAAATTCATTGTCTCTTTCATTGGTAACTACAATCACTCTTGTACCCTTCTCCATGAATTGTATTTATGCTTTGGAGATAAAAAATACTTCATGCTAGTTGCAATAATGAGAGATACAGGTCAACTTGAAAACTAATGAGCTTGATTCTGATTCCTAGTTATAGTTCTTGGTTCAAGACAAGACACTGTTATGGGGTGCCAACATAGAGTATACAGACACAGTCTTTTGCCAATTGGGTTTTTGTTTTGTTCATGGGTTTTGTTTTGTTTGTTTTTCAAGACCGGTTTCTCCGTAACCCTGGTTGTCCCAGAACTCACTGTGTAGACCAGGCTAGCCTTGAACTCAGAAATCCACCTGACTCTGCCTCCTGAATGCTGGGACTAAAGGCGTTTGCCACCACACCCGGCTAGAGAAAAGGAATTTTTTAGATCATTTTTTATTTTAATTTTAAATAGCTTGTTTTACATGTCAATCCCAGTTCCCTCTCCCTCCCCTCCTCCTGCACTCCCCTTCCTCCCCACCCTCCCACCCTATTGCCAAATCCTTCCACATAGGGGATATCTAGAGTCTGTCATTTTACTCTGGGTAGGGTCCAGGCACTCCCCTAAGAGTCCAGGCTGAGAGAGCATCCCTCTTTGTGCTATAGGCACACGAAGACTGTTTGTATACCAGGGATAGACACTGATCCACAGCTCAGGGCCCCATAGGTTGCCCAGGCCTTCTCACTGACACTCACATTTGGGGGGTCCAGATCAGTCCCATGCTGGCCTCCCCACTGTCGGTCTGGGGTCCAAGAGCTCTCCCCTGTTCAGATCAGCTGTCTCTGCTGGTTTTGCCAGCCCATTCTTTGCCAATTTGCTCATCACTCCTCTCTCTCTGTCACTGGGCTCCTTGGGTTCAGTTCAGTGATTAATTGTGTGTTTGCCTCTGCTTCCATCAGTCACAGGATGAAGGCTCCCGGATGGTTATAGACATCAAGTTCATTATCAGGAATGGGCATTCGAGGTGGTCCCTCCACTATCGCTTAGCTTGCCAATTGGTGTTATCCCTTTAGATCACTCGAGGTCACTCTCGTGCCTGATCTGGCTTCAATCCTATGATTCCCTCTTCCCCCTATTCTACCCGCACCCCCTCAACTTCCTGTTCCCCCATGACCAACTCTCTTCCTCTACACCCCTCTCTTCTTCCCAGGTCCCACTCCCCCCAACCCCTCGCCGTGTTCCCCATCCATTCAGAGGATCTTGTCTCCATCCTCTTCTCTTGGGTACTATGCATATATGCATATCTTTTAGGTTCTTTCCTGTTTCCCTGACTCTTAATCTGTGGAAGTGCAGACTGGCACTATCCTGATCCATGTCTAAAATCCATATATGAGTGAGTACATACCGTGTTTGTCTTTTTGTGACTGGGTTACCTCACTCAGGATGGTTTCTTCCAGTGCTATCCATTTCCCTGCGAATTTCAAGATTCCATTGTTTTTTTCTGCTGAGTAATACTCCATTGTGTAAATGTACCACATTTTCTCTATCCACTCTTCAGTTGAGGGGCATCTAGGTTGCTTCCAGGTTCTGGCTATTACAAACAATGCTGCTATGAACATAGTGGAGCAGATGCCCTTGTTGTATGAACCTGCCTCATTTGGATAAATGCCTAAGAGTGGAATTGCTGGGTCTAGTGGTAGATTAATTCCCATTTTCCTGAGGAATCTCCATACTGATTTCTAAAGAGGCTGTATGAGTCAGCACTCCCACCAGCAGTGGAGGAGTGTTCCTCTCTCTCCACATCCTCTCCAGCATAAATTGTCTTTGGTGTTTTTGATTCTAGCCATTCTGACAGGAGTAAGATGGTATCTCAGAGTTGTTTTGATTTGCATTTCCCTGATGGCTAAGGATGTTGAGCACTTTCTTAAGTGTCTCTTGGCCATTTTAGCCTCCTCTACTGAGAATTCTCTATTTAGCTCTGTACCCCACATTTAATTGGATCCTTTGGTGTTTTGGAGACTTGTTTCTTGAGTTCTTTGTAAATTTCGCAGATTAGCCCTCTGTCAGATGTACGGTTAGTGAATATCTTTTCCCATTCTGTGGCCTGCCTTTTTGTCTTTTTGACTGTGTCCTTTGCCTTACAGAAGCTTTTTAGTTTCAGAAGGTCCCATTTGTTAATTGTCGATCTCAGTGCCTGTGCCACTGGTGTTATGTTTAGG